TCATTCCAACGCGCTCAATGGATCTTCAGGCGACTTTCACCGTCAAGAACAGACTCGCAGAGTCCGTCTGTGCGTACGACGAAACCAGAACAGTGACCTTAATAGAGGACAGGGCTGTATTTCGGCGGACCTGAGTCGTGAATCTATAAAACTCAAACCCCAACGTCTTCTATGCGTCTTCCATGTATGGCGCTCGATGAGCAAACGCTGGGAGCGCTGTCCTCCCGACCCAGTATGGCTAGATTGACAGGCCCAGAACACTATCAATACCTCTAGTTAGTAACATAGCATCGGTCATCATGGTCTTGGTCTCTTGGGTGCCCTTTCCCTCCATTGGTTTTCATTCGCACCCATGTCTAGGTTCAATTGGGCTATACATATCAGCAAATATCGGCATGTAGTACGTATGAGACATGATCTCGCTCTTTCTGGCCCTTTCTGAAACTCAGCGCGCTTTCCTTTCACAGCTTCCCAGGAGCCCCAGCTTGATTCCACGGCTCATTCTGTGCATCAGGACACGATGGGACCCGGCACGGCAGGACCGCAAAACCATGTGTCTCTGATGATGATTAGGGACCAATATCACCTCATACCGAACCGTCGGTTCTCCATGCGCAGATCCTCGACGAAACGACATCATCAATATTTCGCGGTCGGATGAGTCAATGGTCACATATTACATTCATCAATTTTCTTCTCGGGAGAAATCTCGCTAGTAATTGCGCGGGAAATTTGGCGAAGGATGAGCATATGGGCACCCCTTCGTCTACCGGCGCAGTGCTAATACCGCACTGGCGCTGATCAATTGCTATTCAGGCTTCTTGATTTCTCATTGGCACAATCTAGTCGACTGCACCACCGCAAATGGGACCAGAAAGAAGCGCGGCTTCCTCTGAGCGACCTCATCCCCACACTGCCTCTTCCTGCCACTCCCTATATATTATCAGCACCCGTAAGTAATCTAATCCTGTCTCTCTCCCGCTCACTCTTGGAATCATGTCTGACCTTATGGCTCTTATTCGTGGCGATAGATCGTCTACAACCCCTAGTTATGTCCACAGACGTTCTAGCAAGTTCCCTACCCCTCCAAAGTATTTTGGTCAGCAGGTATGTCTAATTTTGTATCTCCATTGCAATAAGTACTTACAATTGTACCATAGGCCTCAGAAGAGTCGACAAAGTCGAAGAAAAAGGCGGACAAGCCACCCAAGCCGCCAAAAGGAGAGCATCGTAGTCACTATCCCATCGTCCCTTCCCTTCCCTGGATGTCATCTAGTAGGCGGCATCAAGCTTCCTCCTCATCTCTGCCCAGCACGCTTTCTGAGGGTGCTTCACACGAACCTACAATCATACTCACAAGTGACAATGCGTCTTCGATCTCCTCCTCTCAGCTCTATGAATCGTTTCCATCCACTTCTGATTCAGATGGGGACTTTTACCAGCCGTCATCACTCCCACGATCGACATTTCGACCAAGCTACAGCATCGACGTGCTACGCAAGCAAAGCTTTGACAGCTCGAATCTTCACGCCATTGCCTCCGACGGCGTTTATGGTAGCAGCCTCAGACCCAGCATGACAATCCATCGAAGTTCGCCGCTGAGAAGGATGCAGGAAGTGAACCGGGTCGAGTCGGAGCACAGCCGTAAGTACAAATGTCCACTATAAATCTCTGTACTTCAATCGTGAAATCACCTGCTGAGACACTGGCAGTGGGTGCCGACGGGTCGTGGGATTCGCGAATACAGCCCTCCGCGTCCTCCTCTTCTTCTGCTCATGAACCGACTCCACCTGTGCAAGATGCCATCATGAGAATGGATTCACCCCCTCCCGCGTATACCAATACCGGTCGACCCAACAGCGCCATCCTTCACCAATTAGAAGCCAAGGTGGCACTGACCCAGTACCATGAGGAGCATCCGGTCCATTATGGTGGAAGTTCTGGAAAACCGACTCCCGAGTCGATGGGAATCTCGTTTCCACGAGAGGAAGCCATCGATGAGTCTACGGCAAAGCCTCTCCCGTGAGTATTTTTTCAACATGATTTATCTTCCTCGCCTTCATCTTCATATCACGCTTACACAGCAGGGCCCGTTATCGCATCCTGTGATTGCAGGCATATCCCAAATTCACATTCACACTACGAGGCGAAAGCAGCCGCGATCGCCTTTGCACTCTCGAAACGGCATACTCACAACGGATTGGCGTCAAGGCCAGAAGCGTCACCAAGGCCATTTTCTTCCTTTCTGGAACTAAATTGATGGATATTGAATGTTTTGGGCTGGATTTCACAGGATATATCTTATAGAGATTGTGTACATTCTCCCATTCTGTACTTTTAGGATTGAAAAGATCAGGACCAGATTCCCCTTCTGACACTATCCCTTTGAGGCGAGAAGCACCATCTCTCGCAAAGGAATCGGTCTAGTCTCGCCTTCTTCTTTCCCTCCTTCTACCAGCCAAATAGCATCGTCCAAGACATAGACGACGATCCCTCCTTTCCCATCCCCACGAGGGGTGATACGATACATTGGAAGTCGGACCTTGAGGTGTACCTTTCCAGTGGGCATGAAGAGCAAGTCGTGTGTTTGTGCATACTCTTCTGCAATCGTCTTAAAGTCGGTGGCCATGGCGCGTTTGGGAGGTGCAGGTTGAGATGGAGTTGGCTTTGAGGAAGATGTCGAGGGTTTGGCGCTGTAGTTCGATGGCTTGGGGAGGGTTTTCCTTTGGGAAGGAGATAAGTCCATTGCATCTTTCATCAGTTGCAGACCACGATGAAATCCTTGTTCGGTCGCTTCAAGCTCGCGGATGTTTGCTGGGAATATCGAGTTTCGCCACAGATCATACCTGCACAACACAGTCGTCAACGCGAGCTTCTTCCCACTTCAGAGCTAAGAGTAGAATATGTACGTACCATTGAGCAATTTCCTCGTAACTGGCCTTGGGTTGGACGAGCCAAAAGTGTAGAATCTCCAGCCACTTCGGAAAGACCTCCTTCTCCAGTAGTTGATTTGTTATCGACTTGCCAATTACCCCTTGTTCATGCCACTTGAAAATCGATTCCAAGGGCTTTAGATCTTGTGATCGCGGATTGATTGCAAGTTTCTCTCGCAACATTTCGCCCAATCGTGGTACGATATATTTCAATATCAAGTCTTGCCATGAAGAGGCGTCAAAGATCTGGGACAGAAGCCTCATGAGCATTCTAATCGCATGCAAGAAAGGGTCCGTCACGTACTGGCTTCCAGACCATTAATTCTTCCGGAGGTCCTGTGAGTACATCTATTGCCCTGAATAGTCTCCTGATATTCTTCCTGACATGGTCGAGATAGTCTCCCATTCTCAGTCCAACGTGAGGTAGCCATGGGAAGACGATAGAATGTAGAGTGGGCCCACTTCCTTGCGGGGGCGGCTTCCAGTCTGCCATCGCACGTTGAACTTTGGGTAAGATAAGCTGGTCCATGATATTGTCTTGCATGAAAGGTGGTATGAGATCGTACCACGCTTCATATAAGGCAACTGCCCCCGACGCCTCTGATGGCTCCCAATCGTTACTAAAGTCGCAAAATTAGCACCGAAATATGGTAGTGTACAAATGTGATTGAATGCTTACTTGATCGCACTCCTAACTTTCGGTAGCCATACGTGCCAAAGCAATGCCTCCCAAGGTGTCATCACTTCCGCCATTGGAGTGATTGTGGTTTTGACGGGAGGGGGTGCACCAAAAATGGAGACGACTGCCATTTCACTATCTTCGTCTTGTCTTTTCGCACTCATTTTCAAGGCTCCTCTCCACTTTATGAAGATATCAGTCCATCTCTTTGGTTGTTGGAGTGGGTCCCATTCAGCGAGTTCGAGACGGAACGCCGGGGCGATACATGCTACAACTACCTCGTCCAATCGGTAAGTCTCGTACTCTGAGCGGAATTCTAGAAGGAAGCGGTCGACAAAAGGGGAGAGTGCTTCCAACGAGGTCGGTTTCGCAGTCGAATCTGTGGAGATGATGTCGTAGTCTGATGATAGATCCCCCCGTACGGACTGTTGTATGGTCCTCCCAGCTGCCGCTATCTCGTCCACCACGATCTTGACCTCGACCAGCCGACGAATTAATTCAGCTTCTTCCGATACCTTTTTACTTAGTCTGTCTTCTTCTATAACGCTACGACGCCTTTTCTCCTCCAGTAGCTTGGCTTCGAGGGCAAGGCCATTGAGATCGCGCTGTGTGGTATCCACCATCAGGCGTAGATTGTGCCTTATTTCAGGCAGACGCATAGTATCCGTCGACGGTGTCCATGACGCAAGCGCGCTAATAGACGATACCTCACGCGGTGTAGCCCCTGTAGCATCGATAATAGGACCTGCACCTGCTTGATATGCTTGAGGGTCCACCCCAGCCTCTCGCAGTATTTCCTCGTATGTGCGATGCTCGATGACAGTTTTCTTGGGTTTACTTTTTTTCTTCCACGCTTCGGAACGCTCCGGTGCAGTTTCGTCCTTGCCTTTATGACCCTTTCGCTTCCTGGGTTTATCTTCCTCGTCATAGTCCGGGTTGATTCCCTTTCGTCGATCCTCAGCGATGGCCTGCTTTGTGCGCTCTTTGAATCCCCCATACGCAATACCAACATTTCCTTTTGGTCGGAGTTTAGTCTCGACTGGTATGATGATACCTTGACCTTCAACACCGAGGCCAGTTCCCTTATCGAAAAACGTCAGACCGACCACGCGGTTGAGGGCATGTAATTACTTACCACTTTCCATCCCATTTTTGCCATAAGGCGTG